GTTAATAACGCCATCTGCCATCAGTTTGAAAAAAAACGATATGAACTAAATGGTACAGAATTGATAGGTGTAAGAATGTTGGATTGACAACTTTAATGAAAGGATGGATATCTTTCCCTCCCAGTCAGAGTTGTGCTTGAAAATGCTGGTTGGATAGATATTGAAGAGAAAAAATCTATTATCAATGATCATTCTTATTTTAAAGTGTCAATACCTTTGAGTATGATATTTAGTTTCACTGAGGACTATCGTAAAGTTGTGGTTAATGCGAAACATGAATTTATTCTCACAAGATCAAGAGATGATGTTAGCGCCGTTATACAAGTACATGAAAATCAAATTCTCGAAAAGTATAAGCTTAAATTGACTCAGATTAAATGGCTTGTGCCTTACATAACTGCATCAGACCGACGAAAAATTTGTTTGCTTGATGTTACTGCAAAAGACAAGCCTATTTCTATGAGTTTTTACAATTGGGAGTTGTAAGAGTATCCTCTTCTGCCAAAAACTTCTAGGCATGTGTGGACTGTCAAAACTTTCAATCAGTTGAAAAAGCCTTGTTTTGTTATTTTGGGCTTTCAGAATAAGCGAAAAAATGATCCTGCTTTTAAAGCCAGTCTTTTTAATCACTGTAATATCAGCAATATTAAGCTTTTCTTAAAATCACACTACTATCCTTATGGAAATCTTAATCTTGATATTAATAAAAATCAGTTTTCAACGTTATATGATATGCATAAGAGTTTTCAAGCCGCCTATCACGGAAAAGAACCAGAACCTATGCTGAATAAAAAAGATTTTATCATACACATGCCTCTTATTGTAATTGACTGCTTTAAGCAGAATGAAGCTTTTAAAAGCGCGTCAGTGGACGTGCGCTTGGAGTTTGAAGCACGAGAGAATTTCCCGGAAAATGTATTTGCTTACTGTCTCATTCTACACGATCGCATCGTAGAGTACAATCCCATTAGTGGTGACGTGAGAAAACTTGTTTAAGCACGTATACAAAATTTAAAAAAAAATACTAGCAGTGAAGTCAGTCTTTATCATGATGGAGTACATGGTGGACATGCAGGGCTTTAAGAAGCCTGGCAACGATTATTTGCTTAAAGAGTTGGCGATTCTTCCACTCCATGGAGGTGATGAGCCTCAAGTATTTCTCGTTAAGCCGCCATTTCCTTGGCGCAAACTAAATGATGAATACAAACGTGAAAATTTATGGCTTGAGTTATCCTATCATGGATTAGATTGGAAATCAGGTGTTATCGACTACACAGAAATTGGTTATGTTCTTCGGGAAACTCTCAAAGATGCTAAGAAGATTTTTGTGATTGGAGAAGAGAAGAAAAGGTCCCTCGAAAGGTTTGATTTTAAAGTTAATGATATGGTTGATTATCCAGAGTTTGAACTCCCAACATTAACTACTGCATGTCCTTACCATAATGGTGGGTATAAATCTATGTGTGCTACCCACAATGTCAAACGAATGAAAAAATTCTACTTTTATATAGAATGGGAAGATGTTACTGATTCTGAAGAAGACGTATAATAAATAACTTAACGAAACTGTTTTTTTTTTTAAATTATGTCATAAATAAATGTATTGAATTATATTGTTGTTATTATTTATGTAGCCCTTCTCTCAAAACTAGTTTAAGATTAAAATATTAAGAACCGATGATTCATTCTGATAAAACACACACTTGCGCAGTGCCTACACTAACGTGTATATAAACTAATTTTGGTGCAGAAAGCTGCTTATTTCATCACGCAGCATCAAACGCTATGGATACTCGTGTATATCGCAGTTAGTACGACGCTTTTGAGCTGCAAAATAAAAATGGATTTTTACGAGGATTATGTTATTGAGATTAAAGGTTTTCTGGACGCTACTCGACAGTTTTTACCAAAAGAAGTGGCTGTGGTGTCGCTTATGAGACCAGCAATCAGTCATTGGATTGTGCGGCCCCCATGCAACTTTTCCACCTTACTTATGGATGTGCGCCAAAATAACGACTTTCAGTCAAAGAGAGTGCATGGACTTCACTGGTTCGAGGGTGATTGTTCCATTAGAAAATTACAGCAACATTTCCACACTGTAGCAAAAAATGCACATCGAATTTACGCTTATGAAGAAAATACAGCCACTTATTTGGAATCGACTATAGGGTGTACTGTGACTTACATTCAGCAGTATATGGTGCTATCGCGTCACATTCTAAATATGGGATATTCAACAAAGGCGTTAATGTGTGGTACTCATGATGTACAAAAAAGTCTACGTAGAAAGCAAAATTGCGCACTTAGTAAAGCTCATTAAATAAAATTGTGGCTTTGCTCTTTGGTGGAAAGTAGCATTGAACCCGACTCAGAATGTGTTTTAGACGCGCTTAATAGTTATAAGAAGAAATTTCCTAAGACGCTTCCTAGTTGGGATACTGTTGATAGAATTAATACTAATGATACTGATACTGATGGTGACTCTGGAACTAATACCAATGTTGGTGTCAAAAACGATGACCGTGTGTAGGCAAAAAAAAAAAGAGTAAGGTAAGCATAAAATTTAAGATCAAAAAATAAAAGTACATCTTGCCGTGTGGTAGTACAAAGAAATTAGCACCGTCTTATAAGCTGATGAGAATTTGCGTATTGCTTCAGTTATCCTATGACGATTGAGCAGTCAACATCAACAACATGGGTCCGATCTTTAGCAAACCAAAATATGAGAGCCTCAGGAAGGAGGAGGAGGAGGAAGATAAAAATAGCCGAAAACCTCTTATAGAAAAGCACGTTGAGGCATCTCAACCAAAAGTTAAGGGAAATTATTATTCCGAAAATATTCGCTCTTATCCAAATAAAGATGGATATGATATNAAAATAAAGTTAATTTACGGGTGTACGGTAGATGGTGCGTTTACCCCTATAGAAAAGCACGTTGAGGCATCTCAACCAAAAGTGGAAGGAAATTGTTTTTTCGAAAATACTCGCTCTTATCAAAATAAAGATATATATGATGTATTGAAAAAAAAAATTCAATAACCATGAAATTCTTGTGTATTTTTTTGAAGCTACCAAAAATATATGTGTATTAAATTTAAAGTTTTGTTATTATGGAAACCCACTTACATACTATCCTAAAAATCTCAAACTTAAATTCATAAGCTGGCTGAATTCCTTGGCAAGGTACTGCGTCGAGTAAGCCAACGTTGGTCGCAGCTAAACGGGATACGCGATCCGCTTTCCCCAATGAAATTTTCTCTCCAACAACTCGATACGCCCGCTCTTGAGAAGAACAAAAAAAAACAATGATTACGCTGAGACTCCTAAGACAATGAGCGGAAGAAGAAAAAAAAAATCCGCTGATAAGAAATACAAGTTCGTGCTTGATCATCTTCCTCTCACGCTGTACGTTGGGCTTGTCACCTACACCTTTCGGACCCATCCTGATGACGTTGGAGCTCGATTTGCGGTCGGAAAGGAAGGGAGCCGTCAGTACCATCCAACGTCACAGCATCCGGAAGAGGCCCCTTCCCCTGACGTTACCGCCCGAGTAGTCCTCACCACCCACCGCCCCTACTACTTCTCCTATATCGCTTGTGCCCCTCCTCCCACTGCCCGATCAGCCTCTCCCCCCACCACCGCCTCTCCTCCACCCACAGCTATAGCTAGAGCCTCTCTTCCCACCACCACCTCAGGGGGAGCTGGGGGGTGCCAGAACCGCCATGGTTTACCTACTAATGGTGCGAATAGGGGAATGAAGAAAACGGTGTGCGACAAAGTATTATCATTTGAAAAGAAAGTTTAAAAAATTAAGGCTAACCATAAAAAAAAATAGTAATCTGATGAATTATAGCCGTTAAGTTAGTGTTATAAAAACAGTTGTAGTATTATGCAAAATCTGTCAGTATGGAGCTTTTTAATTGATAATTGATAACTAGGTAGTATTGCAAACAATCACACGAGTTTCATTATTTATTAAGGAGTAGGTGTAGACTTATTTCTTTAGCCCGAGAAAAATGTCATAAAAATTTTTATATAATCACTATTACAAGGGAATCATTTGTGAGTGTCGGAGTCTCTATTTGTAATGTATAATGCTTGTTTGAAATGTATTTATATATTTATTTACGCAAATGTCGTTAACTACTTTTTTTTCATAACAATGTTTTGATCAATACGTTTTTAAGCGTGAAAAAAATTTAATGTAGTAGTTGTAACTAATTAAAAAATTAATACAAGTTGTTGTTAAGCATTGTACTTTGTCTAAGATAAATTGTTTATGAATTATTGATTAGTATGTTTAAATGATTACTAACTCAGTTTGTTTTTTATTTATGATATGGATAACAATTTTTTTTAAACTGGATGAAAACATTTATATAATGCGATTGTGTTAATTACATAAGTGTGCTCAGTTTATTGTTTCAGAATTCAATGAGCACTCACAGAAAATATGCTATGATCGTAGGAATTGCATAAAAATTGTAAGATTTATAGCGTAAATTTTTTTAAAGATTGAATTATAAAATAAAAATTGACATAAACACTGTGCAAATATTTTGATCACGGAATAAAAGTTTATACTTTGTACAAGACATTGATTTATTTTTAAATGATCCTCCTATTTTAATTACCATCGCAGTATAAATATAACTTGTTTCAATCATTCCCAGCGAGTACGTTATTATTACCACGAAAGTAGTCTATTTACTACATCAATAAAAATTTACGCCACCTGGTTAGAAAATTACAAGACTGATAGTATTCTTTCTACCGCTGTCGTAAATATACCTATGGACAGGTTTTCTTCTTGATTATTACACTATTCACATAGTTATTTTTTTACTATAGAAGTATTGTAACTATATCCATAGTTAATATACTACCTCTAGCGTTGATCGGATTATTTCCAATGCATAGCGTAGTAATTTTACTGCAAAATTTTTTACTGTGTTATCAAAATGTTTTTGAAAAACTGAATTGCTCACGTTATCGAAAAGATGTCTTATAGTTGTCTTGTAAAAGATGGCAACACGATAACTTTAAAAGGTACTTAGTGTTTTCTTTTTTACTGGTATCCTTTTTAAGCGTTATCAAAATGCTATCGATAAAATTATTTTTTAAAGTTACCCACGTTATCGAAAGAAAAGATACCTTATAGTTGTCTTATAAAAGACGTCTATGTGATAACTTTCAAAGACAACTTAGAGTTATATTTTTTGACCGATATCATTTTTAAGTATTGTCAAAATGTTATCGAAAAAACAATTTTGGAGTTACCATATTTAATGTAGAAAATGATAACATTACGATAACTTACGATAAGTAAAAATGATATCACTATTTTTATCTTATTCAGACATCATTATGATAAAGCCGGTGCGATTGGTTGCGGTTTATATATAGGGGGCGCACGGTTCTTAGATGTGGATTATAACCTCCTTCTTTCTTGCATCAGCTGTCAAGCAGGCCACATCGGATCTCGTTCGCTTTTTGTCCAGCTCTCTTCGTCAGAGGCTTCATCAAAAGGTTGTGTCATTTGTTTCAATAAAATCTATACACTTAATCTTTTATTAATTTTTGTGCTCTCTGGCTCTTCTTCTTTCAACTCAAAAGTGGAATTAGTAAATTTTGATAGAGACCTTCTATTAAATCAAAATTTGTCATCTCAATTTGTAAGTATTTGGTATGTTTACAAATTTTCTAGTTCTAGTTTAAGCATTTATAACTAAAAAACATTGAATATTTTTCTTTAGGAAAAAAAAATTTTAAGCCTGGGAGGAACAAGTTTGTCTAATGCTATTAATAAGATTATGCCTACCATTATAACAGATGAACTGTGTCGTCAACTAACTTGGTACGGTTTTCATGGAACTCTTGCTGTAAAGGATCTCCATTTTCCATCGATAATCATAAGTATGTATTTTGATTCTGAAAACTTGTGTATTTTTTAAAATTTATTAATCGCTAACATTTTTATAGGTGCTACACGAAAAAAAATTGCATCTACTGTAACAGATGTACAAGAACGCATTAAAGATTGGTTGCGTAGACCATCTGACAGGCAGAAAAAAAAGAGAGGAGTCAATCAACAGCCTATATTGTGATTAATTTTCTAATTGTGCTTAAACCAGTGATTCTTAAGTATGACATAAGTATAAAGTATTTTGTAATCGTAAAAAAACAATTGTAAAAAATACACTTTTAAAAATATCTATTATAATGAAGGCATCGTGCAATTCAAAGAACTATAGATACCTTTGAATTGAATGAATTGATTGATTAATTTATAATTTAAAGGCCATTATTCAAATGAATTATAAATTTGTTCAATTTAAAGGTATCTGTGGTTCTTTGAGTTGCGTAAATGCTACTATTATATTATTTAATACTATTTAAACGATACCCTCAAGATATCATTTAATTTACACAGCAGATATCTGTAAGATATCATTGAATTTAGCACCACAGATATCTAAAAGACATCCTTAATTCTTGCTCAAAAGACATCCATAAGAGATCAAAAACATTTACGGTATGACAACAGCAGACGTCTAAACGTTATCAATTAGTTGTCATTAGCTGATGTTTGTTTTCTGACAACTGATAACAATACGATGTCTTATCGATAATAATTAGGCGTCAATTTGACATCTTGCCGATTTAGTTTTGATAACTTCGGTAGATATCAGCTGACAGTTCAATGATGTCGTATAGATGTCTTTTGTCACCTTAATGTTTTGTGGGTAATGATTGCGAAAACTTGAACATCAATCCTGAAAACAATGTAATAATGGAAAACATGAGCTTTGAAAATTTAAATGATATTTCGTGTACTGAAAACCCTGAAAATATATATTTTAATACATTTTTAATCAAAGATACTCCATCAATTAAACAAGATAAAAGTGAAAATTCTAGTAAATTACTAAAACAGTTTTTCGTACGGTGTTCAGTTCAATTTTCAGTTCATCAAAATGCTATTTTTACTTCATTAAAAGGACTAAAAAATATTTTTAATCTTGAAAATTTTTTAGTAGCCTCGCGAACCTTATAACAAACCTCGCCAAAAAATGAAATTATATCCTTAACTTCGGGTGAATTTGTTTATTATGATTTACGAAAAGCTATTTGTAAACAACTAAATTTTTATAAACCAAATGAGATTCCATTAATTATTGAAATACAGTTTGGCATCGATGGTTTGGCTTTATCTAAAAGCAGTAATGATCAACTGAGGCCAGTTTTGGGCAAAATCACAAATATGAAAAAATTTAAAGCCTTCTTCATTTATGCATGACATGATTTGGGCAAACCATCAAATGTTGATGAGTATCTGGATCCTGTATTAAAAGAGTATACTGATCTAAATCTTTATGGCTTTATGTACAGCAATAACATATGTAAAATAAAACTCGTTGCTATAGTAGCTGATACAGTAGCAAGAAATTATGTATGTATTTTTCCTGCTCACAATAGCAGATGTGGTCGGTGTACGCAAAGTAAAACTGTTTCCAATAGAAGACTTTTTTTAGATCATCATGCTCCTTTCAGGTCATCTAGTAATTACCGTGATAATCTACCTGTTCAATTTCTTAACGTCAAATCTCCTTTAGAAAGAGTAGGCATTGACATAGTAAAAGATGTTCCTTTAGACCCTATGCACTTATTTTCTGGAGTAATGAAAAAACTAGGTTTGATGTTTTACAATTCTTTAGGACAAGGCAACAAAATTACCCAAAAACAAATTCAATTGAACAACGATTATTTAAGCATGAATAAATGGATTCCAAGTGATTTTGTGAGAGGCACTCGCTCTTTAAAGTATTTTAGTAGTTTTAAATGTACTGAGTATAGATTAATATTATTGTACACTGGGGTTATTATTTTCAGAAAATATATTTCTGAAGCTCAGGTGTACCACTTTAATTTATTAAATTGTGCAGCCAGAATTTTGAGTGAAGAAAAACATTGTATAAAAAATAATACATGTGCTAAAAAATTACTGTTAGAGTTCGTTAAACAAATGAAAGATATTTATGGGGAAAAGCATATTATTTATAATGTACATAATTTGACGCATATTAGTGACGATGTTTTACGTTTCGGGACCTTGGAATCATTTAGTGCTTATATATTTGAGGATCATTTGAGAGTTTTGGGTAACATGGTAGTCAAAGCTGCTTATCCATTATCCCAAATAAGTAATAGGATTTCTGAAAGATCATCTAGTTATTTTAAAAATAACAATTGTAATGATAGTGCCGTTGCATTGATAAGAGGTAAAAACTTTCAGGAAGATCTTCCTAGAGGTTATTTCGATCCTTGCGTTGAGATTAAGATTGCAAATTTTTCCTTAAACTTGAAACAGGGAGACAATTGCTGTTACTTGTCGGATGACTCCGTTATCATTATTAAACATATATGTCATGATCAATTTTCCAAACCAGTTATTTTAGGTCACAAATTTTTAAGTTATTCTCCTATTGATAACTACCCCATTAATTCTAATCTTCTTCAAATTTTTAAAGTAAACAATCTATCTGAGCTTTGTCAATGGCCAGTGCATATGATTAAGCGAAAAGCCTTTAGAATTCCAGTTGATAATGATTTTTATGTTTTTCCTCTTCTTCATACTTAATGTAGTTATTCATATTCAACTTATCTATCTATATATATATATATATAATACATTAAAACTATATACATATATAGTTTTAATGTATTGTCAAAGTTATACTCCATTCAAAATGATTAACAAACAAAGTGTAAGTTTTTATCAAGTTGTGTGATAGCGCTACATAAGCAAGTTTGAATTTCATTTAATTTAATTTTAATTTTATCAATCTTACATGGAGTCTAAGTTTTACTTTAACATGTATATATAAGTTTCGTTAAGTTACCTGATACTTTTTCTTGAATTTTCTTTAGATTTATATGTAACTGCCTAAAACGTCAGAAGAAAACGGGTTTTCCAAAATGAACACTCAAAATAATACAAGCAACTTAAAACGTGAGTGCAAAAAAATGTCTTAGAATAAAATAATAATAATAATAATAA